AATTTTTGCCCTTGCGGAAATTACAACTTCTTCACTTCACAGTTTGAAGCTTGAGGTATGGAAAAAAGCCAAAAATTTTTAGGGGGGATTGGGGGGGGGGGGGGAAATGGTAAATAGATAAATCCTTAATTGCTTTGTGGAGAATGCATATATACAAAAAATAGTCGGCCTATGAAATTGATTGTCTTCAATTGTTACAATCAAAATGGAACATTTAGTTCACTTAGTAGACTAGATTAGAAACTTGACCAGCTATTTCGAGCTAGACAAATAGTTACTGTCTAAATACCAAATGTGGGACGGCAGGCACAGGGGAGGTCACCATAAGTAAAGGCTTCCTTCGTACCTAATTACGCTGTTTCCGAATTACGTCTCTTTAATTGGCAGCATTGTGATGGATTGCGCCACTTCCAACAAATGTTTACGTCAGTCCCGCATCGCCTCCCTCCTACAACATAGAACTTTGGTAGTGCTTTTTTTCCCCTTGACTTTTGCTGGAAGAGTTCATATTTTTATTTTATCTATTTTTTTTCTTTGGCTACTGAAAGTTCTTGCTAAGACTATAAATATTTATGTGTCTAGCTTCTCAAAGAAAACATGTAGCACCAGAGCCAAAAAAGGTAATTTATATAATCTATATGTAATTCAATTACGAAGCGTGTCCTGGGTTGAATTATTAGCAGAATTGAGGACTGGCAATATAATAAAGAATAAGACTTAGTAAATTAAAATTGAATCCTACAGCCTTGTACAAATACAACTCGTAGACTGGATATTTGAAGTAGTTTTGTTGGAACGTTGAACTTTAGAGAAGTCTAGCACGTTTGGACTTTGATCTTTAAGAACATATTAATTAAAAACAACATGATTATTAGAGTAATGTTAAGTAACTGAAAATAGCCAGATATTGAAAACAATAGGGAAGGCGTTGAAAACAGATAATCGTAATATAAAATGAAAAATAAAATTTGCTAGATTTGTGATATAGAATGAAATTATTTTTTTTTTATTATTATTAAATGATGACAAGATTTATAAAGTAAGTCAGTCTAATTATCTCAGGAAAAGCTTCTATTTAAGAAAAAAAAAAAAGAATGTTCGTGTATGTGTCGCTGGTGGCGTTATAAAGAAGATCTTTGCACATCAAATCAAAGAGTCTATGTCGGAGTAATTGCGCAGGTTAAAACAAATTAACAAAATGGGGGTTTCAGAAATAGAGAGAGAGAAGGTAGAGAACGGGATGTTAAACTTCATTGTAACAGATACACTAATGTATGGACTAATAATAAGGCTAGTCTTCGAGTCCAAAGATTCGTGAGGAATGCAGTATTTCCCGTGGCTGCGCAGTCCCAGCTGGACTAAAAAGTATGGTAAAAAGATCGTTAAATTGTGAGCCGTTTATTGGAATACAAAAAGGGAAAGGATGTTCCAGTCATAATAACCCTGGGAACAAATCAGGCGTAGCCGGTGGGTAATGCTAGTTAATCAACAGAAACGAACTTTTACAATTTTTGTGTATAAATATCAGGACTTTTTATAATTTTAAAATCCAGCAAGTAACTTGTTCAAAATGTCATAACGATTGGCCAAACATTTATTGATTTATTGATTTATTTATTGATTTATTTATTGATTTATTTATTGATTTATTTATTGATTTATTTATTGATTTATTTATTGATTTATTTATTGATTTATTTATTGATTTATTTATTGATTTATTTATTGATTTATTTATTGATTTATTTATTGATTTATTTATTGATTTATTTATTGATTGATTTATTGATTTATTTATTGATTGATTGATTTATTGATTTATTTATTGATTTATTTATTGATTTATTTATTTATTGATTGATTGATTGATTTATTGATTTATTTATTTATTTATTTATTTATTTATTTATTTATTTATTTATTTATTTATTGATTTATTTATTTATTGATTTATTTATTTATTTATTTATTTATTTATTTATTTATTTAATTTTTTACAAAGGAGTTAATCAAAATGCTTTATATGTCATGACCTATGTTTATCTAGTCTGTCCATGTCTTCTAATTTGTGTACATTTCTGGAAGTGATCCAACTAAAGGCAGTTTTTAAGATTTGGGGCTTCTCGAGTGGGATAGAGGAGTTCTAAAGTATTCAACGGCATCTGCAAAATCTAAAGAATATTGATGCCCTATTTCACCATGATTTGTTAAACAGTACCCTACAATACATGTGCAGATATTTTGGAAAAAAAAAGTGGGTGTAAAGAGTTAATTAAACATTCATAAGCATTTCGAATAATAAATGTATCTAGGCTTGTATTCAAATTCTTAATGAGTTTTCTAAATATAAGTGCAGTCAAAAGCATGTTTCCTGTTTCTAAAATCATGCAGTAGGCCCGCAACACAACAGTTCAATCAAACGAGAATCCACTCAACATGCCAGGTCTTGACACTACCAAACTTCAGGTCCTGACACTAACAAACTTCAGGTCCTGGCACTACAAAACACCGTGTCCCTGTTTCTGGCCACATCATGCATATAGCGTGCCAGTTCACTTTGTGAGTGGATGTGTGTGTGTATGTAGCAAACATGTGTGGCTATTTAACAAGCTGTAGAGCATGTCAACCACTTGTCCAATTGACTCCTACGTTAGTCCCGGACATTCAACTTGTACTAGACTCTAGCTCAAATCAAAATATTGTGTTTTTTAGAGGCTCCTGGAAGAGGATTAGCCTAAATTAGTTTAGTACGGTCTGTCCGTCCGTCCGTCCCGTTTCGATCGCAAAACAAAAAAACATGAAAAGATATTGAAAATCCGAAGTAATGATATTCTAGATCTTTTAAGTTCTGATCCAACGGCTACTTTGAAAGATCTATAATATAGTGATTTTGGATTTTCAATATCTTTCTCTAGTTTTTGAGATCTAAACTAATAGCGGCTATTCCCGCTAAAATTGGAGCGAAAGCAAGTTACACACCAAAAAAAAAGAGTGTTCTTAAATGCTAAAAACAGAATATATATATCTATATATATCTGTGAACAGGATAAACAGTTTTGTGCTATTACACATTAAGTGGGCTCTACAAAAACCTATTGGAACGACACAACGAATCAAATTCAACCACTACCAATTCGTTGGTGAAAAGGGCCTTGATGTTCTAAATTTTACTTATTTAAATTTCGACCACCGCAACTAGGAGAATTATTGAGATTCAGTGAGTTATCAGCGAATCAATAAAAAATTAACCAATTAATTAATTTTTTTGTAAAAAAAGAAATATGGATTAAACAAATTGGCCCAACAATGACCTCCACCAGTGACCAGTCTGTGGGCTTGTAGGGTCTATAAACTGAATTGAATAGCAAAATAGCAAATTTGTTTTCCATTGTTCACAGACTTAACACTAAGGAACGACAACTTTCACCCCAGTGTTAAGACCACTTGAAAACATGAAAGGCACATTTCGTTGATATGATATCTACATTATATACTTGTCCCCTCTTGACTTACCACTTGTTCTGACCCAATGACCTACTGATATAAACTACAGCGTCATTACCAAAGCTGTGTCACACACGTGCCTAAGTAGACACTCACTTTAAATAACAGGTGATCAACGAAGCGATATGCTTCTAGAAGAAACACGAGAATATCTTAGATACTCATAGTGCCACCAGAACTAAGCAGTCTTGTTATCTCTCTATTGAAGCCAACATTCGCTAGAAGATAAGGGATATGACATGATTTGGTGACAGGTCTACTTCTGTCAATATCTTTACTCTAAAGTAAACATTTCTAATTGTTTACTATTATGTTTAAAAAAAAAAAAGATGGGTATATGGTGGTGGATGTAGTCGCCGAAATCATCTCATACATTGTGAAGACAACTGCTGCCGTCTTCCTGCTGTTTGTGAAGTTCTTTATAACGACTTCATCTACATTAGATGGGGTAAAATATGTAGGTCGTAACTTTGTCACAAGTTATAAAGCACTCATCCTTACTCTTCGGATCGACAACAATGGAACGTCTTACTCGGAGATCACGTGACATTCAAATCCATGTTTGAACTTGCTATCCTCAGTTCAGGCCTAACTCGACAAATATATATTTTAAAAAAAACGTTACTAGCCATACAAAGACTTGAAACTCATGTCTTCCGATTGACAGTCGAGGACGTAACCTGTCGACCACCCCGTCCTTGTTGTATTTTCACTGGTATTTCATTTCTATTAGGGCCAAACGTTTTGTCTTTCTTCTACCCTATTGCCAACTCTAATGAGACACGCTACGTATAGAACTGAATAAGAAATACAAACTAGTTTCACTGGATATTGTATCGTGGTGAATTCCTTTCAATTCATTTCAAGCGAAAGTATCACACAAAGGTCTGACACTTTTTAAATAAATAAATTGCTACCAGATGACTTAGTATCTTGACATTCTATGTGCTCATGTGACGCCAGACTGACTGAAGTTAAATCTCGTTGTGTGCAGAACAAACAATTTATTGCTGTCTTGAATGTCGCCTATGTAATGCCAGGATAGCTTCGTTGATGTATGACACCGACAGTCTATTAACTATATTTCTATAGTGCTGTATAACAGGTACTAGGTATGTTGTTGTACTAATTCACGCGAGAAGGCATAAAGCACAAATAGTTAGGACGATGAAGTGTAGGTTGTTGTTTTTTTTCAATTTCAAGGGAAATAACACGAATTTAATTTTTTGACATGTTTCGGATCTTTATAATTGGAGATAATGAGATCTACATCCTATCCCAAACCTCCATCAGGACAATGGGTGTTGGCATCGGAGTGCAGGGTTCGAAGCAGGGACACGGGAGTGCATATCATAAGACTAGGAAGCGCTTTTCGGAAAAGAGATGGTAGTGTAGCTGTATGTTACGTAACTTAGATTTATGAACTTCCACAGTTTTCTCCCTTGGACAAGACAACCTCCTGTTAGAGTCATTAAAAAAGTCAAAAATACTCAGAGGTTATGTTGGTAGACAGTGAAGTTTCTATTAATCATAAAGCAAAAATAATAAGAATAACAACAATGTATGCATGAATAACAAAATGCTTACATATTATTTCAAGGCAATCATAGAATAGAGAGAGAGAGAGAGATGTGTTGGCCTGTACGTGGGTGTAAGACTTTAAACATTATGGTTAGAAGAAAGATCTGGTTCATTATATGATATACATTATTATGCATTAAAAACAAGAGAATACGGTCAGAATACCAATCATACTTATGACATTAGTTGTGACATAAAAAGTGTAATTTCAAATAGCCATACATTTCAACTTATCCATCATTCAGAATTAAACATTGAAGTGGATATTACTGTCTAGTTCATTGAATCTTATAATTTAACCAGAAACAAAAAAGATCACAAATAGGTCACCAACATGATTGATTTGTTTCTTGGCTTTTTACGTTGAGTCTTTATCATAAAACGAAACAATTGTCAAGTGTACACATCTACCATTACGATTCTATATGTTAAGGGTTTGATTATCAAAGTCAGTGGATGTCTTGATTGTTTAAAATCTTTGCGTTAGTTAAAAAAATCTACTTTTATCAACTCACTCTGCCTGTATCTTGTACAAGGTTAGCTGTTCCACTTCCTGGTATCAAATCACATATTTTAATATTTTGCTTATTAGTGATGGCTGTACTTTTAATTAACTACTGATATGCTCAGCAGACTCATGTTACAGTTGTTTTCATTAAGAACCAAATATAATACATACATGAGGTCTCTTTGTTAGGCATAAAATATATATATTTATATCTCCATATATATATATCTATATTTGTCCGCATGTTCTATACCGGAATAGGTCTACAAGTATATGTTAGACATAACCCATATGTTTTTTCACAATTTATTAAAAAGTCTAAAAATATTACATTTCAATACTGAATAACATATATTAAGCAACATAAACATACATAGCACATTTTCAAATATTTAATTAAAAAAAAAAAAAAAAAACCTCCCTGACATTTAAAAAAAATAAATGTATTTTTAAAAACTAATCTTTTTAACATAGAAGAAAAAAATGTGCATTAACATTCATATTAAAAGTTATGTCATCTTTTTATCACAACCTTCAGATCAGATATGTACAGAATAATACAGATACACCATCAAATCAATAATAAGCATACACATTCATAACACTGTCGATCAAATGTACAATTTCAATATAAAAGCACCTAAATATTGCATAAGTAAATAAAGAAATAAATGGCAACATTAAGTTTTGCTTTTAAAAAAAATACATGAATAAAAAGAAAGGCTTTATATTGCAAATCTCTTTACGTCAAGAAGCGGAATAATGCAAGCAATAACAAGAAAACAATCTGACTTGTAAGGGGAGGTCACACAGTAGTGTATTATAATCTTTGGTAATTTATCAGTTGTAGGACTTGACTCGCCGGGCTGGTTGTCTGCAAGTAAAAAAATAATTCAAAAATAAGCCTACATAATGAACGAGCATATTATGCGACATGGTCAATAAGAATTATATTGAGAAGTTGTCATTCAACTATGTACTAAGAACTATTAATATATAAAATATACATCTCATCCCTTGTAAGGGCGGCAATGTGTAAATACTTCAGGCAGATGTCTCCAGTGCAATAACTGATAAATTTATTGTATAAATCAGCAATGGACCAAAGTCTGATTCATGGCCCCTTTGCTTATCTAAATGAATAGAAATTGTTCAGAAATTCTTTTCTAGAACAATCAAAAAGTTGAACCGCCTACTAGCAACAAAAAGACATAGATGACCTTTCTGGAGACTGTCACATGTAGCAGAGTTAATGTTGTATGTAAGGTAACGTTGAGAGCTATGTTTCTCAAAGAGTAGTCCTACTTTTTAGAATGCTGTTAACTGTGTAACGTATGAGAGATAAATGACAACTCTAAATTAACGAAAGCCTCAAAAAAAGTATTGATAAGACACTTACTTGACTGCTGCCAGTTCGTCAGGTAGTAACTCGGACTGGGATTCCTTTTTCTTCAACCATTTTGGTTTAGGCATCTCTTTACTGTTTCTTACAGGTGATTCGGCACTAAAGATTCCAGAAGAAACTTCGTCGTCTAGGGCGCTGGAACTACTTCGGGACGAGGAGCCGTCAAATGCTTCATTTCTTTGAGAGGCCGCCGAGTTAGCGCCCCGGGGTTCAGTTTGCTTTCTGTTTTTTCTATCTCCAGATGTAGTGGGTACATTTTTAGTGTGAGCGCTCTGCGCGTTAGTCTGTGGGTCATTGTGTCTGAGCTCTGACGAGGGTCTGACTGGAACGTCGTGAGTACGTGTGCTGGAAGATGTCGGTACGTTTTGTTTAGTCCTCGTGTATTTACACGTGTTGACGGATTCTGAGACACAGACTGACTCTGTGGGCATGCTGGAAAAGCAGTTGTCGTCCGTAGTAGAGTACTTCCGTTTGTCCAGCATATCGTATGTCTCGTCAAATACGTCATCATACTCGTCCATCTCCTCTGGATGGACGTCCGCGTGGTCGTGAGGGTTGGACAGCACGCGATCACGCTTCTTAATTTCGTCCGTGCCCAGGACCCATTCGCCGGAGGCGGCGCTTGGGTGTCGCCCTGACCTGTCGTTATGGTTAGGGCTTTTAGTGGATTTAATACTGGCTGTTGACTTCAGTGGCTCCCTAGGAGGGTGCCGGTGCTGTGAGAGTCGGAACACCCCAGATCTCCCCAAGAGAGACGAGGACTCATTGCAGGCGTCTTGAATTCTTTTTCTGTTGAAAGAAGAGTTGAGCTCAAATCTTTCACAGTTTTTTTCCTTAGAATCTTTGGAAGGCATCAAGTCTACATCATGAGCACATCTACCATTCTCCAGGTGTTCGTGATTTTCACAAAGCGCGGGTTGGCAATTCGAGCATAGAGCTCCGTCTATTTGTAGACAACGGAGATAATCAATACATTTTGAGTTTTTGGAATTCCTATCCTCTGATTTGTTGTTCTCTTGTTCTTGGCAATGTTTCCCATGACAATCACTGCTCTCCCTATCGGGAGTCTGCTCCTTCAGGCCTAGTTTTTCTAGGTAGCAGTCTCTGCAGAAGACAACCGCCTGGGCCTGGCACACCACGCAACTACTGACGTTGCCGGCACTGTAGCTGTGAGACACTCGGCCCCCATAAGACTGGGCCTTGGCCACATCAGGGAGCATCATGCTGAGCTCTCGGCGGCCCGTGTTGACCATCATCACGTCCGGAAGAGACATTGCTGCTGGGATAGCTTGCTGGATGGACTTTCGCATACTAAAATGTGAAAAACAAAATTAACAAGATATTAAAGTACATCTGTGAAGCCCATTACAATATACATGGGCTTGTAGTATGAGGGCTAACAGGAACTGCCTAAAGAATCTTGTTTAAAAATGATTATATGTATATGTTTACAATATACATACTTTTTTAAGCCCAATTGCACGCATTCAGAAAGCACTTCAGAACAAGTTTTTATTGTTCTTTTATCACATTCATTTGGCTAAGACCAAAATCCACAGGCTCATACATATTATATCTAGACTGAACAAGTTATCTGTTATAAGTTTGCTGTAACGGTATTTGCTTTAAACTGTAGTAAAGTTTTGCAAGCATAGCCGTCTTTAGCTTGAAATATTGATATTTAGCGACACTCTCTCTCGCCATTGTGACTTATCTCAGTTCTATACAAAGGCTGTATTACGTTTCGCTTTTTTTTAATTTTTCTTCAGATAGAAAGGTCACAAAGATAGTTTGTGTGAAAATACAAACTCGGAATATGTACCCAAAGTGGTCCACTTGGGCAGGTAAAAGGGTTTTAATACTTGAACTATGAATATCAAAAGCTATGAACTGCCAACTATTTCTCCATCCATACACACAAAAAAGAGACGTTGTCATGACGAAAGTGTTACCAATACTGTTGTATTTTTTAAGTTCGACTGACGACTTGATACCACAGGGATCATCACAGGATACGAAGATTCATTAATGTTATTATTATTAAAATGTTATAATTCATATGTGTTTAATGATCTACTTTTGTGGACGATATAGTTCAATGTGAACCTGACCTAACTGATGTTATGGACTGATTATCTAATTGATGGTTTTGTAAAAGGCCAATCTTTAGTCCGAGGTCTCAATATAGAAACTATTGCACTTTATCTAACGCAAGGGAGAATATGGAGTACATAGTGTAGACATACCGCTTATTAAATTTGTTTTCAATTATAGCGACCTACATTTATGGCGACGTTCTCTTTGAAAACACAAGTTTTAATGTAAGTAGCTGGTATAACGAAAACACTTAAAACAAATATTTTTGTAAATTATTTTTTTGTAAAAAGGATACAATTAATATTTGTATTCTAACAATAAACAGAAAAATCAACTCCCTCATTAATATGATCTCCCTTGTTTCTTACTATTAATAAAGAATACTTGTAATTAAAAAAAGGGGGAACTGCTTGCATATTTAATTCATATTTAATTTTTAAAATTAATCGTTTCGCATAGAAATAAACGGACGAACGGACAGACAGACCACTTAGAACTAATAGCGACTATTCCCTTTCGTGGACCGCTAAAAAGGCGTAAACGGAGGTTAAGGTAGGTGTAACTCCTCAATGAGGTTAGAAAATCATATAAGCAAGAGACTGTAGCGCACCCCCTGGTTTATGAGGCCTCAGTATACAACTTTCTAAACCGCAGGTAAACCAGGCACTAAAATTAACGCAGGCCACATTTCCAGCTAGCGAAGGTTTTCAAGATGTGCATATCGTGTGCCGTGAGTTTGAAAGTAATCTCTAATGAACTCAACATGCAAGCCACAAATATTTACGGCATGTCCCAGGTATTTAGTTACACCTAAACACTAGGCTATTTACTACGTAACAGCATCTCGGTTGAGCAAGAGCTAAGGGAGTGAACTATGGTTGTAATACAAGACCACTGCACTAAGCTCCTAAATGTCAACCGAATATGAAAACTTTCGACTGACAGTCGGGAGAGAATAGAACTTTAAACGTGTAAGACTAAATGCATCAGTGCTTGACAGCGATTGTAACAAGACACTTTGTTTAAGTAGATCTCTATCATAATAGAAGAATGGGTTGCAGACATTGACTCAGCCTTATAAATGGGACATGGAATGTGTTGCTTGAATCAGCCTGGAAAACCAACGACTTAGCAGAGTTTAAATCACTGATTAACATGCATGACTAGATTGACACATGAAATGCGTAGGGCGTACTTATCTTCACTTCAGATGTAAAGTCTGTAACTTACACACGTCATAGCCAGGCTACAATCGAGACCAATCGTTAGAGAAGCCTCAACAATCACCTGTGACGTCACAACCTGTTGGCAGTGGAGACCGATAGCTCGTTGCCACGTTGTACAGACCTGTGACGTGGCAACGAGCTATTGGTCTCCACTGCCCATAGATTGCAACGTTGCAGGTCAGTGTTCAGAACCACTAGGACGATTGGTCTCGCTAAAGTTGAGAACAGATTAGACCAAAAGAACTGGCTAAATGTCACGTTATTACAACATATTTTCTACGCAAGTTCATAAGAGAGGTTCTCTAGATCTGCAGTATGTTCTCTGTAGTAGAAAAGCAGAAAAACCTTCTTTTTTTTTATTGAAGTTACAAACTAATAAAAGTGAAACATAGCGACTCAAGGTTTACATGTAGGTTCTAGTTCCATTAATGCCACGCAGACAAACACGGCATATTTATTATGCATTAGTACTACTTATCATGCTATATCTTCACATTGGACCTACCTATCAGACATAGACTCCTCAATATTTCCCCCAACAAAATTATTTCTGTGACACAATTGATGCCTGACATGGACATACTGCTGTCTTCTGCCTACAGGCAACTGGCTGTAGAAGTTTAAGAGAAAACAGACATTAGAACGTGAACTTGGGCAAGCAGAAGGTTGTACCTTTTTTAGGATTGGGGG